ATTTTTTACAGAAAAACGATCAAGCAAGTATAATTTAGGAGTAGTAACGGTCGTTACTGTTAGGAACTAAAGTAATTTATTGGGATACACGACCAACACGACAAAGGCTAGATAATTGAAAAGAGGCTTCCTTTTATCTTTACCGAGCTTTCGGAAATTTTATTTTTCCTTCTTCAGAGGTAACTACAATATTGAGAAAACAAAAGTTACAATAGTTAACAAACAAACAATTGAACAACTTACAAAAATGGATTGCATAAAGGAACTGAACCAAAGCTAAACATGAGGTCGCAAACTTTGAGCACTAGACATATCTTATAAAAACTATACTTCTAATAATTCACTAAAGGTGAGTAATTAAAGATCAAAAGATACTAAAAATCATTACAAAGTTAATTTTGAAACCATTAAAATAAGTATTACTTACAATGAGAACACGTTAAAATTTTTTTTTTTTTTTTCCGTTAAAAGTTAAGACGCAATAAGTCACGTAAGTTTTTTATACCACAAAAACTGGAAATAAACAAGGCTGGCCAACCGTCGTCACGGCAAAACACCAAATACACTAAAAGTAACCACTAGGTGGCGTTGAGAGGGGGAATAAAATTAAAAATATGAAAAAGGAAACAAAAACCGAAAAAGAACTAGAAAACCAAAGAATCACCCTCAATCGATGTTTGATCCCTTCTACCCCAGTCCTTCATAACAAGGTAACTGTAAATAGAACTAAGGTTCTGGGTGTCAGTTCTGAAGTTTAAGGAATTAACCTNACTTCTACAGATTCCCGTGTCCCTGTATTAACACTGTCCTTAATCGCCTCTTAAACTGCCACTCAGACGAGCACACTCCAACATTCATAATAATATCATTAAATATTTTACTAATTTGATAGGTAAAACTGTTTTTAAAGAATTCAGTTCTGTGTATGGGCAGCGCTATCGTACGTTTAAATCTTATATTAAGATTGTGCACGTCCGAGCGGAAGGTAATTTTATCATACAAATATGCAGGTTTCTCCTTGGTGACCACATTGCGAAACAACAATGCCGAGTGCGCCAAACGTCGCGACTGCATGTCCATCCAGCCGATTTCCGACAGTTTACTACTTACAATGTAAGTAGTAAACTGTTAGTAAATTCATTGGGACCCGTAACAACTTTTTTCCCTCATTTAGTTGTAGATATCAATAATTTAGATAGAGAATGGAGATTGCTTCAGAGTAGTGCTGAAATAGATAGCAGTCTAGAAACTTTGCAATTTTGGAAAAAAGTTTGTAATCTTCAGAAAGGTGACGGTACACAGCTTTGTTCAGAACTGCATAAATTTGTTAGTGCACTGTTGGTTTTACCACACAGCAGTGCTTGTGTTGAGCGCTTTTCAGTACAATTAATTTAGACAAAACGAAAATTAGAAATAGGCTTTCCATTGAAACATCTGGAATACATATCTGGAATCAGTCGTGTTTTAATTTTGAGGTTACAGATGGTGTTTTAAAAAACATTCTTCGTTAATGTACACAGACAAGTAGTTTATGTATGCGATTTCATTTGTATTTGAGTTTTGTGCTGTTAACATATTGTTGTTAACTTACTTTGAGTTTTATTTTGTTAACTTATATTCATATTTTAAATAAAAGCTATTTATGAACAATTTGTTTTATTGTAATTGCGTTGTAGTATTAAACCCAGTATTATAAATATTCTAGGTATCGCAAATTTATTATTAATTGTAAACAGAAAATCTGAAAAAGTACAATAATAATTATTTGTGTACCGAGGTAGGGAAATTTGTCTTTTTTAAGTGGAGGCGTAGTCAAGGTCAGACGATCTGGTGAAATCTGGTGATTTTTTAAAGCGACCTCTGGTGAAAAACAAAATTTTCATCTGGCAACTCTGACTTACATGGTCCCTTCGCTTCAACCCAAACAATAGTCTTATATACAGGAGTTTTGAACTTTTTGAATTTTAGACTTAAGTACACAAGACAAAAACGGATAATACAAGCAATCCGCAAAATTTAAGTGCGATAACACTATGCTGTCACATACACTGTTAAAAACATGGACCTAAATTTAACTCTTTTTCACTACTAAATCTGGAAGTTCCCTCGCGACCATCTGTTTCGGAGACTAATTTTACGGAGTTAGAAATTTAACAAATATAAATTGCCAAGTGTAGTTAAATTCCTCCTAAAACGTAGTTATAGGTTATACATAAGGTGGAGGAATGC